AGTGCGTTATAGTAGAGGCAGCCATTGGGCCCGTCAGTGGCCCTGTGTGCTTGTATATTGCATTCCCTTCCCCTTCTATCTGAAAACTCACATCTGGCCACATAACTTTGCTCAAATAGCTCAGTGGAGCCCAATCAGATCTGGCCGCCATCGGCAAAAAATTGCTTATGCCAGAGACAGCTCTTTAGCCAGAACAGATGTTACTTTTGTTTGTTTAAACGATCATAATCTTACTGGAGAGCTTAAGTTTGCTGCTGATGTACTCAATTCAATCCTCAAAAAAGGAACAGCATGACAGGTGCAACGGAAAGAATGTGAAGTCACCCTGCCTGGGTTTGAATCCCAGCTCAGTGTCTCTGCTCTTCTTGTGGCTTTAAGCAAGTCACTTTCTATTTCTCACCCTAGTCTCTTTGAAATGAGGAATTTGGATTTTTGGTATTTTTAAGAGAATGCAAGGAGGCAAGGCAGTGGTTCCCAAGTTTGGGGGGTAAATGGGCATGGCATTACATAACACTGACTCACTTAGCAAAAAAGTTACTACCATCTTAATTCTCTTTAACGTCTATCTGATTATATTAAAGAGATGGAGACATATTTTTGACACCTCTCTATCCTGGCTATTACCTTCTTTTAACAGGAAAGAGCTGGTACACACAGGACAAAATAACTAATGTGCTACCCAAAAGTCTGAAGTTTGAGGAAAAGCTGAGTTAAGGTATGTGACAGCACCTCGCACTGAGTCTCTGAGCTATGGTTAGAATTTAGGCAGTCTTTCAGGAAAAGTAGAAATGCTGAATCTATCTTTGTACTCTGGTTGGACATAAGTTCTTGAAGAAATGGAATCTGATTTGGCAGATTCTGATAGTATGAATAACTCACACGGACTGCAGGATTTGTCCCACTTTCAGGTTGTCTGAGGTTGACCTAAGAACGCTGGCCCAGTGACTTGGAAATATTTTTAAAAGCTGGGAAATACATCATCTTAAATTTAATTAGCCTTGGCCAGATGCAGTGGCTCATGCTTGTAATCCTAGCGATTTGGGAGCCTGAGGCAGGCAGATCACCTGAGGTCATGAGTTCAAGACCAGCGTGGCCAACATAGTGAAACCCCGTCTCTACTAATAATACAAAAATTAGCCTGGCATGGTGGCACACGTGCCTGTAGTCCCAGCTACTAAGGAGGCTGAGGCAGGAGAATCGCTTGAACCCGGGAGATAGAGGTTGCATTGGGCTGAGATTGTGCCACTGCACTCCAACCTGGGCAACAGAGCAAAACTCTGCCTCAAAAAATAAAAATAAAAAATTAGTCTTTACTTAAAATTAAACAAACAAATACTAAATCATATCAGATTTTTATGACAAGTCCTGGGAGCAAAGATGTCTGTTTCGTTAGTACTTTGAATTCAAGCTTCTGTGCTGATTATTGTTCTTAAGAAGATAAAAAGGTGAACATTAGAGAATTGTACTATTCTACAACCACATAATCTCAGGAACACAATAATAGACTAAGGATTAGGAAGGGAGAGAAAATCACATTTAAATTTAAATATATATGGGCTTTGCCTCTTGTTATTTTTGCTAAGAAGGAACATGAAGCCTCCAGAAATGTTGAGGTGTTGACTACAAAGTTTCTGTTTATTTTCCTGGGAATGAAACTTTTTCCCATGAAACACAGGATACCCTAAATTTCCTTACAAACTTACATTGTTCATTTAACCTAAGGTTAATTTATCATTATATAAATCACATGGGTTCTTCTGTGGCCAAAGCACTAGATTCTAGCATTAACTTTCTGCTCAAAATGCCTTTAGAAGATTCTAATCCAAACATAGGATAAAGTCTTATTCTTCCAAAGAGTTAAGGGGACTTTAATCTCGAGTTCTGACTCTGCTGTTATCTTGCTAAGGGTAAATCCCCAATTTCCACCTAGGACTCATTTGACCCAGCCATAAAAAGATGGTAGATTAGAGTTCACATGCTCAAATGCCAACAGAGGCCAGGTAGGTGATACAAACAAAGGAAGTGGGCCAGGAGTAAGAATAATAGAAGTTGATAAGAATTAAAGGATGTGGTGGTGGTGGTGGTGGTGGTGGTGGTGGTGAACAGCTCCTATAACATTAACAACCACCATCAGCTCCAGAGAGTTGCCAGCGGGGAGAACAGGCTATTGTTGCCAGAGACTGAATTCTCAAGAGAAGTCAGAAATATACTTTTAAAATAAGAACTGCCTTAATTTCATATTACTGGCAATGAATTCAAATGATTTTTAAATATTGTGCAGTAAACGAACCTAACTGTAGGCCGGATTCAGCCTGGAATCTGCTTAACCATTTTCTGACTTCTGCCCTATATGATCACTAAAGATCTTGCAGCCTTAACTTGTAAATGGCAAATGGTTGCTTTTTTTGTGCTGTTGATAAGATGGAAGGTTTGATACTGTTTGTAAAAGCAGGACAGAAACTAGGGCTTGGGGGGCAAGACGGTGTGGTCTATTAATAGCTGCAGAAGGGTGATACAGCCTAGATCAAAAGCCACTTGCATAATGCCATAGGGCAGCTGTTCCTCTTAGCTGTTATGACAGTGGTGAAATAATAAGAAGACCATCATCAGCAACAACAATAGCAAAACCACCTTTGCTTGTTCAGAGACTGATGTGCCACTCCTAGATTTTATATAGAGTTGTTTTGGGCAATTTTGTTAATCCATTTTATGAATGGCAAAGGAAAAACTGTAAAATAGAACAACAGGACTCCTGATAAACAGGTAGGAAAACAAGGTGACTTTACCCCCTCTCCTTCTCTTTTGGTAAGGAAGTGCTGTAGAGACACCTCCCAGCCTCCAGGGGGTGGTACAATTAACAGAGCATTTGCTTGAGTAGCTAAAGGTACAGAATAAGAACTGGTGCCACTGGGTCTTTCTAGCATAAATAGCCTCATTATCTAAATCTTTCTGTCGCCAGTCTCAGGGGGATCTCCACAACACTTTCATGACATAGCCCTCTGTGTGGGAGGAAGTAAAGACAGCTGAGCCTGGAACTTGGCCCTCCTCCACTCCACATGGATTTTTAGCTCTGCTACATTAGCCACGGTACTTACTATCTCTATAACTCAGTTTCCCTGTGTATAAAAGGACAGGAACCACAATGGCTACCTTACAAGGTTAATATGAGATTAAAGGAACTCCTACCCCATCAGGGGAAATGCCTAGGTCTACTTGGTAGTACTGAACTATATTCCCTTCCAAAGTTCTCATTTTCTCATCTAATTCCTCCTGCTACAGTTAGAGTCTGTCTGGTAATCATTTGTCCTCCATGATGATAAATAATGCCCAGAATAGAATTATGAGGTTGAACTATATGGAACTGTCAATAGTCAATATTATGGATCTACAAAATGGCAATTCATAAGGTTCAATGTACTACAAAAGCACTCACAAATCCAAAGAAGCTTCCCTTTCTATACTAGTTCTGAAACACACCTGAACAGCTTATAGTCTCTATATCTGGGTAGGATGAGGCCTCTGGTTGGGGAACAGACACTTTCTCATTATAACTAAACTAACATTTGTCATCTACTTCCTTCAGTGCTTTGAATAAATATAATTTCCTTTAACTTCATAACAACACTAGGGATGAATGTAAGCACACAACTTTCCATATGCTCCTATGTTTGAACCCGTTGGTATGCCCTAGAATTGTGGGATATGTAATGTGCTATCATGGTTCCAGCCTACATGCCTATACATTACAAAGTATTTCAATTAACAAAGAGAATAATGTTAAGAAGGCCCTGCCATTCACTGTGTAAGATGAACCTGACAAAACATAGCTCCACAAACACCTGGACTAAATGCTTAGGTACATAGGGACCACCCATTCTGGTATCCCCAGCACTTCTGACAAAGATAAGATGTTCTTGCATTTCCTCCACTTTCCCTTGGTTGAAACCCTTGTCAATTTTAACCTGGCAGTTTGAGCAGTCTATAAAACACCATTCATATTTCCATCTTTAAAGTTACCTTCCATGCATAAATACATTAAAAAAAATCTACCATGGAATCCAACCAGATGAGAACTCCCAACTGATTTATTTACTCAATCTCCTCAAAGAAAACCATTTTCTGTGACAGTTCTGCAGGTGGTAGGGATCACATCTACTCTTCATTCATTCTTTCGTTCAATAACTTTTTGAAACTTTTTTTTGAGCACTTACTGTGGACCAGACCCTGTTTGAGGCCAGGGGTGGCAAATTATAAGCCCATAGGGCACATCGGATCCAGCATTTGTTTTTATAAAGTTTATTAGAACATGGCCACACTCAATTCATTTACATGTCATGTATGGCTGCTTTGCGGCAGAGCTGAGTAGTTATAACAGAGATTGTTTGGTCCACAAAGCCAAAACTATGTGGCCACTTACTGAAAAATTTTGCTGGCCCTGTTCCAGGTTAAGAGAGGTGACCAAGAGAAACAGAATCCCCATGCAGCTTCAGATGCTCTTAAACAGCAGACTGCACCAGATGAACCCTTGTCACTTAGCCTAAGGGGCAGCCCAAGATTGATCACAGTCAGGGCTGCTGCTGGGGGCTTGTGAGGAACAAGAAAAGGACGACAGGTATGGAGAGAGACGTGCGAAGGGGGTTAGAGGGAGGACATGTTGGGAGATTGGATTAGTGTGGGAACTACAACAGGTGGGCCATAAGGATTCCTACTAAGGGGCACCCAAACTGGTGGTCCAGGTACATGTATCAGAATCACCTAGAGACATTATTACAAATGCATGTTACTGGGCGCCCCGCCTGGGAATCTGAATCTGAGTTCCAGAGGTGTGACTAAGTTTCCACATTGTTAATGGGTATCCCGGATGATTCTGGAGTTTGAGAGGCACTAGGTTAGTGTTTCGTTTTAGTGCAACAGCGGAAGGTGCTCCCAACACCGTCTGGCGTGAAGTCTGCTTGTGGCAGGTGAGAAGGGGAAAGAATCAGGGCACAGACACTCAGAGGTCGATGCAGTGAAAAGGCAGTTTATTGTCTATTAATACTGTACAGAGGAACAGAGAGAAGCTACAAGTACAGCATCAGCTGTCGCTGGCAGTGTCTTTTCTGAAGTCGGTTTTTATTTTGTTTTCATCTGAAGGAAACAGAACAGTCAAAGTACACTTCAGGTTACAAAGTACAGCAGCTAGCTGAGTAAGCTAATTCGGAGTAAGCACGACAGGCTCCCACCCCCACCCCCACCAAGCAACCACAGATGAAAGTATTTACAGAGACGTCACTCACCCCGAGTGAGATGCTAAAGCTGAAAATTTCACCAACAACCTACATTCACTGAAAAGCTGCATCAGACACAACATTTTCTGGAACCCCTGTATGATTTTGACTCTCCTAAGTGAGGAGCTTGAGAGAAGGAAAGAATGTTCCAGAACCCTGCCAAGGATAGAACTCTTCCCACCTGCCAGAATAGGATATCACAGAATTGAAGTTGGAGCTACATACAGAATAGTTCAGATCAGGCATTGCCTGGTGACCTCTGTGTATATCAAGACCTGTCATTGCAAAACTAAGTGACTAGATGTCTCCCTGTCCACTTAATCTCAAAACTGAGAGGTTTCCTTAGTAATAAGAGAATAAACTGACTCTCCATTAGCACCTTCAGGCAATTGCATAGTTCTTTCATTTTTGGAGCTGTCTCCAGGACAGCAATGTTCACAGCAGGGCTGGAGTTGGGCTTGTTGGAGAGATTCTGGTGATGAAGGAATTTAAATGATTTGCATGGGAACCAGAGGGGTTATTTTTCTTGAAAGTGGAGTATATATGACCTTGTCTTGTTAGAAAAAGGGTCTTGATCTCTTGGGTAGTAGAAAAAGGCCTCATCCTGAGGAAGGATGATGCTTGGGAAGAGTCTCATAAGAGTGGTAAGTAGTTTCTGAGACATGATAACTCTGTCAGCCAGACAGAGGAGCAGGTATTGGGAAAGCGCTTCAGGCAACTGAGTGTGATAGGGATGGGACTTCAGGAATTTGGCAGAAACTTGGGTGAAAACATTCAAGAACGCTAAAAATTCACAATCTCCTTTATGAATAAAGACAATCTTTTCCTATTTCTGCTTAACTCTGAAAATACGGTGCAGCCCTGTGACAGGTAGGCCAATTATATCTGTTTTTTGTTTGTTTTTTTTTTGAGACTAGCTCTATTAGGGCCCAGGCTGGAATAGAGTGGCGAGATCTCTGTCCCCTGCAGCCTCTACCTCCTGGGCTCAAGCAGTCTTCCTGCCTCAGTCTCCCAAGTAATTGGGACTACAGATGTGCACCACCATGCTGGCTAATTTTTGTATGTATTTTTTAGTAGAGACTAGACAACATGGTCTCACCATGTTTCCTAGGCTGGTCTTGAACTTCTGGTCTCACACTATCCTCCTGCCTTGGCCTCCCAAAGTGCTGGGATTATAGGCATGAGCCACCATGTCCAGCCCCTGGAAGATTTCTATTGGTGGTTTATCTGCTTATGCATAGACTGAAGATGATCAGAGGGCTCTGACTCACCGTTTCATATATAGTTCTCAAATGCACCATAGCGAGTGGTCCCTTAACCTCAAATGTGGCAGTTAGTCCTTAAATATGTGAAAGATTTGGACTTTGATAGTTTCTGTGCTTTGCTTGCATTTAAAATAACTATCTCCTTCCCAAATATTATTATATATTATTAAAGATATAGCCCAGAAAGCTATCAAGCCGTCTATCTAATCTATCTAATGGCAGGTATAGAAAGCTCAATTTTTCAACCAACACCTATTTGGAAACACTGGATCTCATGCAATGGCAGTGCAAGGCCAAGCGACAGGCCAAGTTCATGCCCCCAAGGCTTGGCCTAGTGCTATAGAACTCCCCAGAAAGTTACCTTTAATGGAATGAAGACGTAGCTCAGTCAATCAAGGGTGTTTTCAAACTCAAGCTCCATAATGCATATAGATTTCATTATAAAAATACTATTCCTTAAAAAAATACTTAAATGTAAAATATTCCATTTCTACAGCCACTCCTATTCCCACCCCTATCATCCTACTCATCTTAGACTATAAGAAATGGGTACATTCCTCAGTCTTGGCTCAGTCATAGAATTCAAGTCCCTCTCTCCTGCTTTTTCAAGCTATGCCAATTGTGCTTAAAATGATGCTCCCAGACCCAGATAGGGGGGGTCTGCAAGTTTACTTCTCTCACAATGGGAAGGACTGTGAGGAAATGACTGCCAGAGGTCATGCGCTCCATGTGGCCTGTCCCCTGAAAGTCAGGGTGTGATTTTGCAGGCTCAGATGAGAACACAGATACGTGTTTGGTTGGTAGACAGGCAGAAGTACATCACAACCTATGCCCACTTTAGCCCCTTTGGGCCACACCTGCAAGGTTCTGCCTCAATGCTCCTATGATGAAATTCACAGCTCTGAAGAAGGCTGGGTAGGAATGGGGAAGAGAATGTTGTGTTAATACAGCTTTGGAATACAACCTGCGTTTTTTTGAAAGGACAGAAAAGAACAGAAACAGTGATGCTAAGGCAAGCTGTCAAATGGCACATCAGTACTATTTTTTGTTATTCATTTTGTTAACATCACAAGGCAGATACATTCTGTAAACATATATACCATACAGTACATTAACCATAGGAAAGTAAAAAGAAAGCCACCCTGTAATTCTTTTCTTTCTGTATTTCTATTTTTTCACTCCAGAAGGACTGTCTGAAGTCTAGGGAGAATTTTATGATTTGTGAGATATACTTTTTATTTATTTTTTGTAAAAATGCAGTGACTTGCAAAAAATAGCCCCAGGTGATTATGAAGAGGCAATATGAGAAGATGACCCTTTATACCTCAACCTGTAAAAACTTAGAAAACAGACACAAAATAGAAAAAGTCATTAATTTCAGAAAACATCTTGTTTTCCTGGTTAGTAAAAGAGAACATTGAAAAATTATTTTTTATAAAAGTTAAGGCTGTCAGATCTTTGATGCAGAAAGTCTGCAGTCTCCAAAATTATGTATTATATTTTCATATTGAAAGCAAGTTTTTTTGTGTGACAATTCTGATCTTCTTATGTTAGACTGGAAGGGAGAGGGGAAGCAGAGGCTTATTTAAGTTATATAAAAATTATGCCGGGGAAGCTGGTCTAAGGAGCCCTGGTAAAATTCCCCTTTGCAACTTTCAGGATGTAGTCTTTATTCTATACCTTTCTACATTCAAACAATCAGTATTTTGGTTTTTGTTGAAGCGAGGATTTTCTTAAGAAGTTTGCTGAAGCTATGAAAATACAGATACGTAACTGCATTGTGCTCCTAATAAATGACTTTTGTTTTTCTCTAGAAAATGCAGGAAAGTTTTCCTGGTAATACCAGAAGAAGGCCTTTGTGAAGTGAATTGATGGTAGCAGGAATCCAACATCCCATCCTCCTCATTCCTTACGTTGTTTTGTTACGTAAATGAATAACCCTGTGCTCTTGCTGTGTTGTGTATCCAACAGGACAAGGATACTTGGAGGTTCTAGCCTAATCACTGGAGTTCAATATACCTTGATTAAGAAATTGAGGAGCACCTGAAAGATTGTGTATTTATAAAGTTTCTGAAACCTATGTCTTACATATTCTGAGAATTTGTGGTTTCAATAGCAAATGTGCATGTGGCAAAAATAAAATGTTAAACTGCTCACTTTGGAATGGTTTTTGTTGTAAACTAACATTGCAGGAGATGAGAGTATTTCTTCCAGAAAAGGACCTGTTTGTGAGTAAAATTCTCCAGTGGGGCCAGGGATGAACAGAGATGACTGAGCTTCTAGATTTCAAGTAAATGAGAAAAAGTCCTCAACGCATATTCTGTCTGTGTCCATCTCATTTCATATCGACAGGGCTAATATTTCTTACAAAGGAAGATCTGGTATAGTAGTTAGATTTTTGTCTCTATCACCGTATTCCCTCCCTCCTCCTTTGCTACTCATTGGTTCACTGGCATTAAATAGATGGTAATTTTCAAGGGTGTGCTGTGGTCCCTTGAAATGAAATTCGTAGGAAGTAAAGAGAAATAGTCTGTTTTTACACTTGGCCTCAACATTTTGCTCTAGAGATGATATTGTATTTCTAGGAAACTCTCTCTCTCTACGTTTCCCCTCCTTTTATAAAACCTTGACTCTAACCAAAACAAAACATTCTACATGCTTGTAGATAAAATACATTTATCACCCGGAAATTAAATGGAATAGGTAGACATTTTAAGCAAATATCATGTCTATTAACATTTCAGAAAGGAACCAAACCAAATTAATGGAATTTGAGTTTCCTGAAAGCCTCTCGGAAGGCTCAAAAGGAAACTGTTTTAGGGTTGGCCAGAAGGGTGTTTCCTACCTTCTCTTCCTCCCGATCACCAATATCAAATGACATTACTAGACACTGTCAACTCACTTTTAGAGGCAATTATTATTTTTTTGCTTATGTAAGGAAAAGAATATGGGTAAAAGAGATACAAGCTGAAAAGATTCCCCTTAGTTTGTCTTACTGCACACTAAAAGAAAATGTTTTTAAGAAGTCAAGAATACACAAGGCATTATGATTTTTCAAGATATGCAGAATTTATCATTTTAACCATAAAGAATCTTTCATTAAAAGCCACTGAAAATCTATTTACAAACAAATGAAATACCCTTCCTTTTCTTTTTCTTCTCTTTCTATTTAAAAGGGAAGTGATTATATGATTTTAAAGGAAAGCCCAACTAATCATTAGCTCAAAAAAGATCATGGTTTTGTAGTTTCATTACTCATTCTTTCGTGAGTCTGATTATGTAACCAAGTACCCAGCATTTTTGGAAAGTGTGATACCACACACAGTAACATTTACAGAGAAAATGCCAATGGCAACAGGGAAGGCAACATATTCACAATCACAGCTCCATGTCCACTACCATCATGAAGGGTAGTTTCTTGCTGCTATAGGTCGGATTATAGGTCTCGTCCTATAGAAGTACTGGCTAAGCCTGAATCCCCCATTATGACAGGATAATGATGGGACATATGCAAATATATATGCCATATTCAAACGTACCTTCGTTTACTGTGACTGCAAATAGCTTGAATAAAGGTAACACATCTTACTTCAAAGTCCATTAAATGATAAGCTTTACTAATAAAAATATAGAGAAACTCAAATTCATATAATTTGCTAATCCTTATCCCCCCATAATAGTAATTAGTGAAGAGAATACAGATAATCATTAATCTTTTAGTTCTTGTGTGTAGTGTTGTAGTGAGATGTGAAGATCTTTTCTTTGTGAGTAACTAGTTTACTTATGAAAGGGTAGGTGACTTCAGGGAATTATCTGTCCTGGGAGATTGATTCTGTTTATCAAACAGCAAGCTCAAGGGTTCTACGTTCTACCATTCCACTCACTAACTGTGCTTAATTTTTTAAAACTCACATTGAATAGCTGGAATCCCCAAGGGAGTAAAAAAGATAAGCTATGGTAAACTTTTAGATTGTTTCTTTCTTAAGTAAATCATTAAAATGACAGATTGTCCAAGACATTGAAACTCTCCCTCTATGTAAATAGGTTTTCTCCCTCTATGTAAATAGGTTTACCTCCATGCCATTTTATGTAATGTCTAAATGATGCTTCAGTGACCACGTGCTGAGGAAAATGAAGCTGAGAGTAGTGGAACTAACTTATAGGCATCCAAACCAGGTTTCTCAATAAAAGAGCAGTTTTATTCAATTGCAGCTGCTTTGATGAACCTGAGATTTAGAGATATTTCCCTCAGTTATTCAAAACCAAGCATGGATGGAATCATGCTCAACAGCAGAACTTAGCTCCTTTATTTTTCTCTTCTTTAACTTTTTCTGTTTATGTATAGGCGTAAACATAATGAGTATAATAAAACGACCCATTTTGTGCTCATTAAAATGCAATTATTTCAGGAAATTAACTTTGAAAAGTAAAAACTGGTGTTTTTACCTGTCTTATTGAAGTAAATATAATTTCAAGCCAAGAAATTTAAAAAATAATAATAGATTTAGAACTGAGCAAGAGAAACAGGTCTATAATAGGTTCTATAATAAAATTCTCTCAAGACTATCTTATTTTTTTCTCATCTACTTTCCACAGAGATTAGACTTGATGTAATAAAGCATATTATATGTTTTTTCAAAACTATATTCTATGGAACATAATTTTATGAATAATTCATAACAATGCTATAAATGTTTGGGCAAATAAAGTTAAGATAAGTCTTATTAAACCAGTTATATCTTTATTTCATTACTATATTATTGTTATTTCATTAAATTGTTTGGCTTTGGTTTTACTATATATATGTCTCTTTGCTTTGGGGGAATGCTGAGAAGGTATTTCAAAAACTGTTCATTGTGGTCTAGATAAAAAATATTCTTTGCTCTTCTAGGATGTCCAGAAGTTTTTTTTAAAAACAATGCCCTAAAAAGCTCAGCTATGTGCCACTCAATTAATATTTGTCAAATGAAATTAAGTGCTTAACATTGAGAAAACAGGTCTCTCTTAATTTTTCAAAGTTTTTAAAGAGTTTTTTTTTTTTGAAGGGCACATAAACCTACAAATTGAAGTCACCTAAAACACTGTCTTTCTCATGGGGACAGAAAGAAAAGAGTACAGACGCAAGGCTTTGTCAACCGGGCACGAGATGAACAGTTAATGCATTACAGCACCATCCATGATGAAGTGGGAGCATCATGGCAACCACTGTAGGTCAGAAAGACTGTTTTAGAAATAGGGTCACTGCAGAGATACTTCTCAAGATGATCCCCTCATTGGAAATAGATTAGCATGACCAGAAAATATCCATGAAAAAAGAAACAATATAAAAATTTACATTTTTTTTAAAGAGAATAGAAACAAGGCTTGAGAATTTGCCTAAGTTTGGAGATCAATTGCTACTGATGCTTAAAATGATGTTTGTTTCATGTCCTTAGAAATTTTAAAATGGTGTTTCTTATATAAAGGGTTCATAGGTTAAACCATAGAAAGAGAGACAACTGCTGATGGGCAGGTTATGGAATCAGTCCCTACATTTCAACTGTGACAAGCTCTGGGTTCTTCTACATCGACTTCATTTCAGTTTGAACAGAAAGAAATCCATAGATGCACAATACTGTAATCTGGAAGCTTATGTAAGGCAGCAAAAAGCATCACCCTAGATCGGACAGACTAAATAAGGTCCACTTTTGGCTACACTAGCAACCAGCTAGAGCCAAGAGCATTTTGCCACACAAGATATAAAAACAAAGATCCACAGCAAAGGAGGCAAGTGAGAAACCAGGGACATGGCAGTGTGTGACTACGTTACAGGAACACACTACAAAATGAAACCCCCAGTGCCAATGGGTTCAATTCCAGTCAAGTGAGTTAAGGCTACCATATCACTGGCTGATACGAAGAGTCCATTCCGATCGAGCAGGAAGGAAGTGATTCACTCTTGAAGACACAAGGAAAGGTTTAGAGGAAAAGCAAGTTCTTGGAGAGAATGAAGCACACACATGCACGTTGTCTCTCAGGTGAGGAAAAGGAGAAAAATGAGAGAGATCAAAGCAATCCAACTGCAAGGCAAGGCAGGTGTTTGCTTCCAGTTCACAGTATTGCAGTTAGTGGTACAGTGAGGTCTACGTGAGTGGTGGAGAGTACAGGCTGCCCAGAAGAAAGGAGAAGAAAGAAGTGGTCACATGACAACACAGCATTGACAGCGCTTTTTCTTTTGGGTACCTGGGGCTGGCTCTGTGGCTAGGCTCTCTTCCTTCCCTTCTGGGGATGAGGGCTCTGTGGTATCTGAGATCGGCCTCCCGGACACAAGCTCGGCCGCGTTCCCGTCAATAGTGGACACGTCCGTCACTGTCTTCTCCCTCAATGACTTCTCATCGTCTTCATCAATGAGGACCAATTCAGCCTTGACGGTTTCATCATAGCCTAGCACCTTTTTTGTCTCCTCTTCATCCTCGATATTTTGGTAGCCCATAAAAATCATAGTGACTGGCTGATCCAAGTTTGCCTCTGGCCCTGCAGTGCTGGGGGCTTGAGCCTGCTGCCCTGGGTTCCCAGAAGAATGGTCTTTCCTAGACTTATGTACCATTTCTAACTTGGCTTCTTTGCAGAGCATGTGTTCCTTGGGATGGCTGAGGCTCCCATCTGCAATCACAGTCCTTTCGGACCCGTGCCTTCCTCCCAAGCTTGATTGTCCAGCCTTCTGAATAAGCTCTTCTACATCCTTTGCGCTTAATTTGTGCACTCCATTTTCTACTACGGTGCCTCCTGAGTGCACCTCATACACTACTTTGGTACCGTCATCATAGACTTTGACTCCTTTCTGATGGACCCCCTCTGGGCCAATGGTAGATGTAGAGAGAATCTTGGTCTCTCCTGTTTGTTTGTCTTTCTCCACATTAATTTCCATGGCGTACACAGCTTGAATGAAAACAAGAGAAAGGAAGTGCATGTTACAACAAAAAAAGCCAGTGAATGGTTAATTGCCAAACAGACAAAAAAAAAAGGTTTTGTGCCCTTTCTATTCTAACTGCCAAGCATCCTGAGTGTTAGAGTGAGATGCGCACTGTGAACAAAGGTGGTTATATCTGTATTTTAACACAGCAGTTTAAGGTACTGGGAAGACAGATGCACGGTTGCTATATCTCAATGGCACTCATAGGTTTAAGGAAGATCTGCTAAATAAGCCCATAAGAGACTTGAGATCTTGGTGTGAAGAATTTCAGAGAGGCTGGTAACATGCAAATTACCTTGATTGAGGGCTTCCCAGACTGACAGACAATTTAAAAACCCTTGATTAAAATGTGTTCCAGTTTCAAAATTTTAAATAAATAATAAAACCTCTTTCAAGTGTTTCCCGTTGTCTCTACATTTCCACAAAGGTTTTTGTAGGTGGGACATGGCTATCTTCCACTGTACTATACAATAGAATATTTTCAACAATTGAAAAGGCATGAGAGATTTCATATTAGGTGCCCAGTGAGGACGTCAGTCACTGAGCTAGGTACCTAAAATAAGAACTGGGAAAAGAACAAGACGGAAGTAGCATCACCCTAGGACACTGGAATTTGAAGACAACGATCACAGAAGGCCTCCTTCGTCTTCCATGCACAGAGTGCCAAGTTCTGCTACGCATCATAGCGCTCCCACCTGCTGTCTTCTTTTTGTTCCGTTGCTACTACTCAATGTGAGACACTCATTTCCTCTTCCCTAGATTGTTGGAAGAGCTTCCTACCTGGTCTCCCCCTCCCCGTGCCCGTGCCCCTCAGTCTTGTATCTTCTCTATTTCATCCCAAATCCTGCTGCCAGTCTGTGGTTGCTAAGGCCAGCTTTTTCCTGTCCTATAGACTCTTGTGACACCTCATACTTCCAAAGTGGTTTCCTCACAGGCTTCCTGGATGAAAAGAAACTGCATCAGGCCGACAGAACCACCAGGCTCCAGGTGCCCTTTATCTGGATGTGCCACAAACCCATCAAATTCAGCAGCTTCCAAACTGACTCCAGTTTCTTCTAACAAAACTATTCCACAGTCTCCATGACAAATAACACCAGCACTGCTAGCTAGTCTCTCAAGCCAGAGGCCTGAGAATCACACCTGACTTGTTCTTTTCTTTCTACTTTCTCACAGCCACTCACTGACAGTAAATAATTCTACTTCAGGTATATCTCACCCGTCTCCTCACCATCATTTCTATCACCAAGGCCTTGGGCCAGGCCCTCCTCTGCTCTCTGCACAACAGCCTTGTTTTTGATTTTACCTAACACTTCTGTCTTCTTGCTCTAGTCCAGGAGACTGCAAACTGTGGCCAGAGGGCCAAAGACAGCCTGACCCTGTTTCTGTATGGCCAGAGGAGCTAAGAGTGGTTTTACATTTTTAAAGCGTTTAAAAAAAAGAAGAAGAAGGGAAGGAGGAAAAGATGGAGAAAGGAAAGAGAAAAGAGAAAGAAAACAATGAATGTACAACAAAGACTATATGGTCCACAAAGTCTAAAATACTTAAAATCTGGCCATTTGTACAAAAATTTTGCCAACCTCTGCCAGACTGTGCTCCATCCTGCCCACAGTTACTTGAGTCATAAACCTTTTGTTGGTTCCTTGTGTCTTTAGAGGATAAACACCAAACTTCCCAGCATGGCATATAGTTCCCTTCAGCATGTATCGGCAACCTTCCTTTCTAGCCTTGTCTTGCAGGTCCTCTCGTTCTTTACACATTGTGGCCATAACAACTTCTCACTATTCCCAGGACACTCAACTTTCTCCCATGGCTGCTCGTCCATGTACCTACTGTCCCTCTGCCTAGATAGCCCTCCGTCCCTCCTGCAGACTCCTAGAGATCTAGCCCACATGTCTGGTTATTGTTGCCTTGAGTCCCTATCTCTTTCTGAATAAGTCCCCAACTATGTTAAGAAGATCCAAACTATCTTTTCAACCACATGTTCTAGTGCTCCTTTTCCCTTTAGCACAATCAAATAACACCATCTCAGACCTAAATATTTCCTGCTTTTGTTAAGATTCTCTTTTCCTGAAATGTCTTTGTTCTGAGTTTCTACATATCCAAATATGGCCCATTGATCCTTCCATCTCTAAGTGAGCCCTCTCTTCTTAAAATTCTCTCAATACTTTTTCTAAACTCCTCTGAAGGCTCTTAACATGTTCTACTCAGTTGTATAATTATTTGTGGGAATGTTTCATCAGCTTCATAGATTTTTAGGATTTTTGAGGGTTAGTTTCTTGCCCAACATCTATCCATGACGGCCCCCGTCCCTGTCAGCACCTACCTTAGAGCCATTTGTATAGTAGGTACCCAATATACACATCTGTGAAACAAAGGCTAATCATTCAAGAGTCTAATGCAGTTGTTGTAATCTAGCAACAAATATTTTGTATAATATGATATCACTGGGAAGGTACACACGGTAATTAACGTTTGAACTTGTTTGAAAAAATAACAGCAATGAGATTGTTCCATCTGCTTGCATAGTAAGATACAATCTGTTCCTGGTTAACACTTAACTAAAAAGTTTATGAAACAAACTCCCATGTTTGATTTTCAGCAGTTCCATTTTGAAAGTTTTACTTGTTCACCATAAAGATCTCAAGTTTTCTCAAGTGACACAATGGGAGGCCAACCAGTATTTGTCATAGAGGTGCATGGGCACACACAATGATTGTGTATCCAAACAAACATTTACCTCAGTTCGTTTCTGATTTCTCACAAAATGTTGCATCAGAGGAGTAGAATGGGCATTTAAAATTTGCATGAACTCCAACAGCCTGTTCTTAAAATATTACACTTATTTTAAAAAGCACAGTTTGGGATTAAAATATTATATCTTATCACTATTAACACACCCATGGGACATAGTTATAAATAAGGAAAGTAATAATTATTAGTTTGTAGATACAATAGCTAATTATTCTGCAAACATTCAATAATCTGTGAACAAAACCACACATTGGCCTCCAATCAATACAGAATATGGAACAAAATATTTCTATTTTTATATCCATATATGATAGGATGAAAATACAAATTATTAACATGGGGATGTTTACAGATGGCCCCCTCCTTCTGCCCACCAATGAGAATGCTGATCATAATTGATCCAATTTTCTCTCATTTTAATCTTTGCCTGTTCTAGATTCAGAGACTGGAAGAAAGGAGAGATGATGATGGTGAGTTCTTTGCTGGATAGGTTAAGTATATACACACAGTACACAGATGAGAAAGAAGTTTAGTGGGAGAGAAAGTAAAAACTGTGTGAAATATGGACAGAGAAGGAGCATTTTGTGGTGGTCATTGATGCTTTGGAGCAGGTGATGTGTGGAGGAAAGAAAAGCAACTATGAGAAGTATTGCTTAATGGAGACATAAATTAGGTCCCATTTATTTATTCATTTTTTTGAGACAGAGTCTCACTCCATCACCCAGGCTGGAGTATAGCGGTGTGACCTTGGCTCACTACAACCTCTGCTCCCAGGTTCAAGCAATTCTCCTGCCTCATCCTCCCAAGTAGCTGGGATTACAGGCATACGTCACCACACGTGGCTAATTTTTGTATTTTAGATGGGGTTTCATGTTGACCAGGCGAGTCTCAAACTCCTGACCTCAAGTGATCCACCCACCTCAGCCTCCCAAAGTGCTGGGATTACAGGGGTAAGCTACCATGCCCAGCCAAGGTCCCTTTTAATATACTTCAGGAGAAATAAAGAACAGAATACCTTCTTAATGGTTTTCTGGTGTGCGGTTTTAAGCTATATTTCTTTAAATGTGACATGACTCTGGGACTGAACCACATGTGACATGGTTTTATTAGGGTTACATATTTACATTTATATGTTGTATACTATTCTTCCAATATTCCTAGAATATGAGCATAAAATATTTCAAGCATTTTAATATAATTTTATAATAAAATAAACTTAGATATGTTATGCCACAAAATTCATATTTTTTTTCTAGATAAAACATAAGACTTCAGAGGAACCACACATTTTTAGCAGGTTCCTTAAGAGTGTGATTCTACATTCCTTTCTTCATTCACTCTTTCCTCCAGTAAGGGGAACAAAGGCGAACACTTTGAGAAGCTCTGGCTTAACCCAAGGGCAATATCTAGTCTTCATGGATACATATATGAGAATGTTATCTAGGTCTTTTAGAAAGCCATGCAGGAAGTATGAATGTTTAAATGTCATCTTTATGAATAAGCATTTATATTTTGCTTCAGTTCTCAGCCAATAATATTCAAAAGCATGAACTACAGTGGATATGAGCCAGTAGGAAATAAGACATTTTCAGTGCAGTGTCTCATTGTTCACGCACACAATTTAAAAAACTCTTCTACTTCCTACTGCTGCCAAAAGTTTATACCAAAGACTTCTCAAGCTTATCATGCCTTCATCTGTAACCACAAAGCACAAAGCATACTCTCTAGCCTGCCCTGTCTTCCCTTACCTTCTCCATGTCAGAAGTACACTACAATTTGTATAATGATGATGGTCAAAGGGCTTGGTGCCTTTGTTTATCTTATTTAAAATATGAGGAGGGAGTGCTGTTGAGGGTGAAGGCTTTCTGGGAAGCCCTGAAAGAAATCCTGAAACATACGTGGACACAGAAAAAAGTATTTGAAGGAAAGCTCTTGAAATTTTCCAGGAGGAAGGACGTGGGGAAGGAGGACAAGAAATAGAAGACAATTCAATGGATGTTTCACTGATAAGCTGGCTGAAATCTGGAAGTATGTTTTTACTAAATTATACATTTAATTATTGATTTCCAAACCTTATATATTGATGACAATGAGATTGGAGTATACAAAGCATTTTTGCTATTCCTTCCAAGAAGCCAGTGAGACAGTTGAGTAATATGCTGTTTTGATTAAACAGAATAAGAACCAATGTTGCCAGCTTCTTTAAAGGGATACA